TGGTGGATTACATTGATGGATTTTCTTATGTTGAAACCATCCTTGCATCTCTGGGATGAAGCCTACTTGATCATGGTGTCTGATTTTTCCTGATGTGTTCTTGCATTCAATTTGCCAGTATTTTATTGAGTATTTGTCCATCAATTGGGTCATGACTTCTGTTAGTTCCTTTGTTTCTTTTTTGAGTTTCTATCTGGTAGTCCTGTACAGTGGGGAGAGTGGGGTGTGGAAGTCTCCCACTGTAAGTGTGTAGGGTTTAGTATGTGATTTGAATTTTAGTAATGTTTCTTTATGAATGTGGGTAGCATTGTATTTGGGGAATAGATATTCAAAATTGACACTTCATCTTGATGGATTTTTCATGTGATGATTATGAAAAGATCCTCTTCATCTCTTTTGATAAATTTTAGTTTGAAGTCTAATTTGTTAGATATTAGGACAGCTATACCAGCTTGATGCTTAGGGCCATTTGTTTGGAAAATCTTTTCCTAAACATTTACTCTGAGTTAATGTCTGTCTTTGAAGTTGAAGTGTGTCTTGTACACAGCAGATTAATGGATTCTGTCTTCGTATCCACTCTGTTAGCCCGTGTCTTTTACAGGTGAGTTAAGACCATTGATATTGAGGGATATTAATGACCATTGATTGTTAATTTTTATTTGCTTTAGGTTTTTGTTGGTTGTGATATTGTGTGTAAATTGTTCCTCTTTTCTGGCTTTTGGTCAAGTGGGATTATCTATTGCCTATGTTTTTGTGAGTGTAGTCAACTTCCTTGAGTTGGAGTTTTCCTTCTAGTACTTTCTGTAGGACTGGAATTGAGAATGTGTATGGTGTAAATCCGGTTTTGTCAAGAAGAAATAAAACTTTTACTATTTGCAGATGATATGATAGTTCACATAAGTGACCCAAAGAATTCTACTAGGGAACTTCTACAGCTGGTAAACACATTCAGCAAAGTGTCAGGATACTAGATTAACTTAAAAAGTCAGTAGCACTAATATATATACACAATAAAGGGGCTGAGAAAGTTATCAGAGAAACATCACCCATTATAATAGCCAAAAACAACATAAAATATCTTGGAGTAACTCTAACCAAACAGGTGAAAGACCTGTGTGACAAGAATTTTGAGCCTTTAAAGAAAGTAATTAAAGGAGAAACCAGAAAATGGAAAGATCTTCCATGATTTTGGACAGGTAGGATCAGCATAATAAAAATGGCAATCTCACCAAAAGCAATCTATAGATTCAATGCAATCCCCATCAAAATCCCAGCACAATTATTCACAAACCTGGAAAGGAAAATACTCAACTTTATATGAAAAAAAAAACAGAATAGCCAAAGCAGTCATGTACAATAAAAGAAACTTCTGGAGGCATCACCATCACTGACTTCAAGCTCTACTATAGAGCTATAGTAATGAAAACAGCTTGGTACTGGCACAAAAACAGACAGGTAGAACAATGCATTCAAATTGAAGACCCTGATATTTAACCACACACCTATGAACCCCTGATTTTTGACAAAGAATCTAAAACTATACAGTGGACAATAAAGAAAGCATTTTGAAGAAATGGTGCAGGCATAACTGGATGCAGACATGTAGAAGAATGCAGATAGATTCATATCTATCACCATGCACATAACTTGAGTCCAAATGGATCAAAGAGCTCAACATAAATCCAGCGACACTGAACGTGTTAGAAGACAAAGTGGGGCGTACCTTTGAATGAATTGTCACAGGAGACCACTTCATGAACATAAGGCCAGTAGCACAGACACTGAGATTGATAGTTAATAAATGGTACTTCCTAAAACTTAGAAGCTTCTGTAAGGCAAAGGACACAGTCAACAAGACAAAACATCAGCCCAAAGAATGGGAAAAGATCCTCTCCAACACCACATCTGACAGAGGACTGATTTCCAAAATATACAAACAAGTTGAGAAGCTAGTCACCAAAACACCAAATAATTCTATTAAAAAGTGGGGTACAGAACTAAACAGAATTCTCAGTAGAGGATCTAAAATGGCTGAAAGACAATTAAAAAATTGTTCCCCATCCTTAGTCATCAGTGAAATGCAAATCAAAATAACTCCGAGTTACCATCTTACACCCTTCAGAATGACTAAAATAAAAGGCACCAAGGACAGTTTATGATGGAGAGGATGTGGAGAAAGGGGAACACTCTTCCATTGCTGGTGGGAACGCAAACTTGTACAGCCACTTTGGAAATCAGTATGGAGGTTTCTCCGGAAAATGGGAATCAGTCTACCTCAAGATCCAGCAATTCAACTCTTGGTATATACCCAAAGGATACACATTCATACAACAAGGACATCTATTCAATTATGTTCATAGCAGCATTATTTGTAATGTCCAGACCCTGGAAACAACATAGATGCCCCTTAACAGAAGAATGGATAGAGAAAATGTAGTACATTTATAAAATGGAATACTACTCAGCAGAAGAAAATGAAATTGAAATTTGCAGGCAGAAATCATCAGAAGAAGAAATCATGAAATTATAATCATTATAAGAAATCATCCTAACTGAGATAACCAAGTCACAGAAAGGCAAACATGGTATGTACTCACTCATCTATAGATATTAGACTCACAGTAAAGGATTACCAGACTACAATCCACAACCCCAGAGAAGAAACAAGGAGTACCATAAGAGAGACATACACGGTGTCCCAGTTGAAGGGGAAAGGGACAAGAGCTCTTGATCTAATTGAGGGCATGGGGGTAGGGAAAGAGAGGTAGGAGAAAGAGGAGGGGAGAATATCATGAGGGATCAGGAAGACAGACTTGGGAGATGAATAGAGGAGAGCAAGAAAAGAGACACATCAATAGAGGGAGCCTTTGGGTTTCTCTCTAAACCTACGGTGGCCTCCTGCTATTGATGTATCTCTTTTATTGCTCCTCTCAAAAACAACAATGGAGAAGTTATTTGCTTTAAAATTAAAAGAACAAATCCATATGAAATAATACAGATGTTCTACTTAATATCATTTTATCTGACATTTAAAGGTATTTATAATTAATTACTTTACTGTTACTGTGTTAGTTCTCTCTGATCAACAGCAACTTAAAGATTAAAACTTTTATTTTGGCTTACAGTTCTGGTAATACACAATAACCAGGCCACAAAAGCATGACGATAGGACAGGAAGCTGGTTATCACAGCTTAAGCCCTCTACCAGAAATAGAGAAGGAACACAAGAAGTAGAACCAGGGCACAAACTTGGGAGCCCTTCACTCAATGACATGCTTCCTCTTGCAAAACTTTACCTCCTAAACTTCCACAACCTTCCCATAGTGCCACCAGCTGAAAACAAGCATACAAACATAGGAGTCTAAGGGGGACACTTCATATTCAAACAATAATAGTACTGTTACAACTATAGATACATATACCCATGTAAGTATTTTGAAGCAGTGTTTTGAAGCAATCTGTCAGGAATACAAACAATACACGTGTGGATACAAGCATTCTTTCCCACTGACAGAATGTTTAAACATTAGCCTGAAAGGTACCGAAAAACATCATGAGACCAGGATGCTACTACTTGAATAACAACTATGCTTATTTTACTAAAAAATAGTTTTTCCCCTTAAAATATCCAGTACTGGAAATGAAGCAGCATATCAATCACACTATGCCTAATGGCTTAAGGATGGGTTATATAGAATCTTAAATTCCCAACATAATCCGGGATTTACTTTAAACTTGTTATTTGTTAATGTTTGTTCTGTGGCTGTGACAAAGTACCCTGACAAAAATAAACTTAGGGGACAAAGGGATTATTCTGCTTACAGTTCCAGGCAACCATCTGTAGTTGAGAAGCCAAAGTAAGAACTTGAAATAACACAACCACATCAAGGACAGAGAAGCAATTAACCAAAGGATCTTTGCTTGCTTGCTTTTTACTTGCCATTATCTACTCTTATATAATAGTTGAGAGGGAGGGCCTAGCCCAGAAAATACTGCCACTCACATTTAGAGCTGGTCTGCTTACCTCAAATTACAATCAAGACAATCCCCTTCATATATGTCTGAATCACAAACTTATCCAGATAGTTCTCCATCAAGATCCTCTTTGTAAGTAATCCTATGCTGTGTCAAGTTAATAGTTAAAACTACTCCGTATAAGATTTAATGTATTTTGAGTGATACACAAACTATCTTATTTGTACTCTGAAAACACTTATTTTGGTGTCACCTTCAGTGAATAGCTAAATCCTTCAGAGAAATTACTAGATCCCTAGGATTAGAAATTGAAGAAATATTTTAAAAGGCTTCTAATACTATGAAGACTAATATCCATGAGTAGAAAACACGAAAATACTGGTTTTGAACTTGTAAAACTGTTAAAGTTTAGGCACAGGTGAATCATATACAAACTTCTAAATTATCTGTATATTATACTTAATTCCTCCTAGGTCTTTGTTCTTCAAGCTCACACAGTCTGTCTGGAAAGTTAAGGTATTGGCTTCTTTCCTCTTCACAGATTCGCTATGCTGGGGTTTTTGGTTCATTAATATTGGACAAAGATACATAGAGGATAATTTTATACATCAAACATGAGCCCAGGAGATTTCTATAATTTGAACTAGATATAAAAGTGAGGGATAATGAAACTAAAAAAGCCAAGGATATCTGTTTCAGCAGGAGTTGAACAATGGAAATGGGGCTAGGTATTAAAATTATGTCAAGTACAACCAAGTGAAAAAAAGGCCCCTTAAACAGAGGAATTTGCTTTTGATAAGCCATGGACACATTGTTTCCCTGATAGAATCCTGGAACTTACCCAACTGCTATACTGTGTGTGACATTTATAGATGTGAGTAATGGGGGAAACGCATTGCTGTGAGTTTGAGGTACATTTGCATATTGATATGCTAGTCTTTAGTTTGCTTTTCTACATTTCTGTGTGCATGATTTTTCTTTATGCATTTCAGCTCAAGGAGAAATTATCAGGAAACCAAGAAAATAAATCTCAATTTTTGGCTGGTTCATCATTATTTTGTTTTGTTTTCAAATTCGTGAGAGACTCATCAGAAATAATTAGAGGTGGAGGGGAACAATGTCATCATGGACAGGCCATGGGGAAACTGTTATTGCTAGCAACAGAGAGCAATGAGACCACAGAGTCCATGCCTCCAACCATTGATTGCCCTTCAGGTAAGTGCCATGTCACAGCAGGGCTGTGTGACTGCAATAGCTCTTCTAGTCGTTGAAGAAAGTGCTGAGCAGGAACTCTTTGGCTATTGTTTGTTGACCCTCCTGCAATATTGATTGCCTGCTGTGTCCCAAGCTTTTCTCAACTCTGAAAATCATTTGCTTTCCCTTTCTCATTGTGTGGCAATTTTGGTACCTATGTTAGTTTTAACAGCTGAGATGAACACTTTACCCTGAAAGTGTTTGGAAAACTGTATGGCTCAACTGCATTACACATGTTGTACTAGGGTATACTCAGTGCCCTGCGGAGTACAAATAGGCACCATATTATGGTTTTCAAATCACTTTAAGATTCAGTTTTAAATTCATTTGAATCATATTAATGTATCACCAAAATAATAGCTCAACTTTTGTGTTGAAACACAAAATTTAAGGTTCTTTCAGAAAACTAATAAAGAGTTGGAAATTCAAAGTCAGGCAACACCTTAGCTATCGCTACCCTTCTGCATTAAGAAATTATAATTACTTACAAATTAAAAAATGGAAATTACTAAAATGCGGAAAAATCAGAAAGGTTTGTTGTTTACATTTTTCATTAAATACTTTGATCACTTGTCTATAGCATAGCATTCTATTAAATATCCTATAAGGAATTCAAATTACTGATGCCTTAGAACGTTTATTTGAGATTCAGAGTCATTATTTCTAAGTTTACAAAATTCAAAATGTTATGGGTGTATTTAGAAACTGTGCTAATATAGAGAAAATTCCTACATTATAATATGAGCCTTCTAAAAATTGCATTTTTGGTATTTCTAATACAAATTTGTGTGCCTCCTGAGAACAGAATTTCTGATACATTGCATTGCTTATAGTTTTATGATTGTCTGTGTGTGTGTGTGTGTGTGTGTGTGTGTGTGTGTTTGTGCTTAATTAAAGTAGTATTACAACACTTTCCCCTTTCCCTATCCTCTCTCCAGCCCTTCCCAGGTCTTTTTCCCTTAACCCCTCCCACTTTCCATCACTCTCAAATTAATAGACTATTCTTCTTTGATTATTATTGCCTCATATGTATTCATATATGCACAAATATATAAGCAGAACCTGAGATGTCTATTTTTGTTGTTTGTGTATATATAGTTTTAGGGCTGACCATGCTGTATTGGATAACTACTAAAGGGGCTCACCCTTGGGAGATTCTAATTCACCCTCTCGCAGTAGGTACTAGTTTCTTATAGTTCTGTGTCTAGGGGTAGGGCTCCCATGAAGCTTCTTCCTCTTGCATTAACATGTCTATTCATATTACCACTGTTCTTGTCTAATTCATGCAGCCATTATATGAGAGACTGTTTAATAGCAGAATTCGTGGTATTCTGTCTCTTACATCTGAGTCATAGATGCAGGAAGTATGATGTAGATGTAACCACTGGGTCTGGATTCCCCATAATCCATTGATCTCTGTGTTGTGTCCAGTTGTGTTTTCTATGATGGTCCATTTGCTGTAAAGAGAATCTTCTTTGATAGGGGATGATTGTTATACTTATTTGTGTGTACAAGATGGAATTTAAAATATATTAATGGGTTGGGATTGTGCTGGTTTAGCAAAGTATTGGTAGTAGATTATTTTCTAAAGTCCATAATCTCACTAGACTTGAAAAGTTTGCTAGGTTTACATAATGATTTCCCTTCTGTTTAGTAGGCATTAACTCCAATTATATAGCTGTTCATTTCGACCCAACATGTGAGTGCCACTTGTTGCACATTTAGTGTATCCTGCTATGCTGGTTATTGTTGTGGTTCATAGGTGTTACTGTTGGGTAGCAGTATTAATTGCCTCTCTCCCTTGGTGGATTGGATAGTATTTTCTGGTACCATGGGAAGCTCTATGGCAAGGAAAAGGCTTTAAGAAGAAAACAAATGCATGTTGAGCTTGTAGTTTATATACCATATTTTCAAAACACTCTGCTGACTATATAATACAACAATCTAATATTTTGCTTAGAATTTTATAGAACTAATCTTTGGAAGATTTTTCTTTGTACTTACTCTTGTGTTGTACATTTTGGCATTATTTTTATTCCTTTGGATGCCAGATATCACAGGACACATTTCTCTTACTATGCGATCTCTGGCTTTAAACATTGGTGTCATAGGGCCAAAAAAGGCAGTATAATGGGAAGCTGAAATATTCCTGGATTCTAGGCCTGCAAGAGAAGAGAAACCAATGGCATCATATATTAAAGTGACTGACAACCACATCAATATATTCTACCAAACTCAAGCTCATGCCATTTTCCTACTGTGTAAAATTTGCTACAACATAGTGGCTTCCAACAGCAAACTTTTTATTGCCTACAGTTGTTTGGTTGGATATTTGAAGCTTTATGTTGATGCCAATGACTTACCTCTATTTTGTGTGGTCATCTGGTATGGTTTGACTGAGGCTCAAAGAACAAAGGTGGTCTCCTTGTCATTATCAGGAGCATTTATTGTCATACTGAGACATACCTTCAATATGGCTTTTTTTCTCTATCAAATAGCACATTCACTGTGACATTTCTTATCCTGACTTCTTTATAAGGGAGCTCGATTCCAGGAACCAGGGAAGACATAATATGTCTCCTTCAGGTAGATGGTTAGGACTTCCTGTCTGCAATAGTTCTTCTGATGAAAGCAAGTCATAAAACCAGTCCAGTTCAAAAGATGGACAAACAACCTCAACTTCCTGATGGGAGGCACTGTAGATAGATTTCAAAGAGACGTGGATAAAGGGAGGGATGATTTATGGCCCATGTTTAACAGTTTAGAACGATATCCTGGTCAGCTTCCTCCTAGCTGGTTCCAGAGATGTCTACAATTACTACAATGCCAGCTGACTTTAGACATGTTATCACCAGAGTAAAGCAGCCTTAGCAGTGACATATAATACACTTCTGTATTTGAAATTATATATTTAGAATGACCTAGTAGCTTTATTTTAAAGTTGAGTAAGAACTTTGGAAAGATCTTGTGTAAGAGTACTTGAGGCTTAAGTCTCTTAAGCATAGATGCTCACCTGTACCAATATCAAGGATTAGACATGTCCATAGCTGGTAGTTCACTCCCATTAGATCTTGTTTTCATTGTACTATGTTGTCTATGAAGGGGACAGATGGATCCTGGAAAATGATGGTTGCCTGTAGTAAACTTAATCAAGAAGTGACTCCAGTTGCAGCTGTCCTGTCAAATGTTGTTTTTTTACTTGAACAGATTAATACATTTCCTGGTATACAGTATGCAGGTACTGATCCAGCAGATACCTTTTCCTTGATACCAGCCTGTAGGGACCACCAGAAGCCAATTTGCTTTCAGCCGAGAAGACCATCAGTATACTTTACTATTTTAAGGGTATATTTGTGTCAAAACTTAGTTTGAAGTGCTCTTAATCACCTGTGTATTAAATAAAATGTTACACTGGGCCCCTATATTGATGACATTATGTTGACTGAGTCAAGTCATCAAGAGGTAGCAAAGAATATATGTGTTATTAAAGTTAAATGACTTGTCTGCCAGAAGATACTGTGATAATCAATATTTGTTGTTAACTTGACAGAATCTGGAATCATCTGAGACAATCCTCTATGTCCACCTGCGATTGATTTAGATTAGGCTAGCTTCTGAATATACTTGTGAGAGATTATCTTGACTAGGTTAATTAAGGTGGGAATATTCACCCTAACGGAGGGCCCTGCTTGGGTCCTAAAAGGCATAAAAAGGAGGATTCTACATGAGCATGAATAATAATTGTTTTCTGCTTCCTGAATGCAGATGCAAGATGACCAGCTGTCACCAGCTTCTGCCACCAGGTCTTGCATGTCGTGAAGGACCATACCCTAGAACAATGAGTCCAAGTGAAATCTTAAGTTGTCAGTCCATCCATCCATCCATCCATCCATCCATCCATCCATCCATCCATCCATCCATCCATCTATCTATCTATCCCTCCCTCTACCTACCTACATGATGAATAATTTGGGGAAAATTGCAAAATTTCTAACTTATTAAATTGGTCAAAATCACTCATGCATGCATTAGGAGCAGGGCCTAAAAACCCTGCTGTGCAATTTCAGTAGTTTTCACTGAGTTATGAGCTTAATGCACATTCATTTGTTACAGAAACATTGCACAGGACAATGGAAATAGCCTTTATTTCTGAAATTTTTGTAATTATTAACAAATTGTTTATAGTGAATTAGTCAATAGGCACTTGCTCTTAGCATACCAATTTTGCAGTCTTTGTTGGTACAGAATTTGCATGGATGTTTTTACACCAAGGCCATCATCTTTCTAGAAGGGAAATTTATGAGACCATTTGGAACTAATGTGGGGCTCAACTCTGTTTTCTCAGAATGCTTTTTCTCAGAAATGGTTAGAGTTAATTTGATTCATTCATAGAAAATGATTCACAAACAATCTTTGAAAAGTCAGTGTTTGTTTGGTATTGGCCATATAATACAGAGCACTTGTATGTAAGTGTGTGTTCAGTGTCAATATCAATAGGTCTTCCAGATATAATTGGGTTGGACCTGGCATTGGTTTGAATGTAACTCAATGTTTACATGGCAGCTTAAGTAGCAGTGTTGGGAGGTAGGGTCAAATCAGGGATGTTTAGGTAATGAGGGAGCTGATTCAAAAATGGGTTAATATTGTTGTAAGAAATAGTATGTTAGTCCAGGAATGGGTTTGTGGTAGAAGTGAGTTTTATCATTTGTTCAATCTCTTACCATTTTGCCTCCCCACAGACAATGAAGTAAAATGAAGACTTTTATCATAGTCTAGTGAGTGGCATGGTAATGCAATTTCTAACTTCCAGATTCAGAACCAAGGGAACTTTTATTGCTCAAAAACTACCCATTTTGTGGTATTTTGCTAAAGTAACACAAAACAGTCTAAAACAGGTAAGACTTGGTTCTAGTGTGGTACTCTTTCAAGTTTTTTCACAGGATTCTAATTCTATTTAGAAA